TTTCTGCTCCCTCTTGTCATGGCCAGCCTTCTCTGGCTCTGACCATCCAGCTCTCTCTTATCTCTCCTTCTGATAACCTTCAATAATCCAGAGAAACCTTCCCATCTCAAGATGCTTAAATTAACCACATCTGAAGACTGATGCCCAGAGTCCCTTTTGCTATGCAAGATAAAATATCTACAGGTTTCATGTACATTGGGGAGGATTATTAGTCTAGTTACTACCACAATTTAAAAATTTAAAAGAAGGAACCATCTATTTGTTGCCTATAGAAAGAAATACATCATATTGAGAAAGAGAACAGACAAAGTAAAAGAATGAAAAGGCATATTGTAATCAAGGGGAACTAGAAATCAGGCGTGTGTAACAATACTAACATTGACAAAATAAACCTCACATTAAATTAGTCAGATGAGATCATTGTCATATATTATGCATAAAATAAACGTTTATGAAGAGAATACTTTAATTCTTTCTTATGTGTCAAACATCAGTACATGGAACTTCATAAAACAAACACTGCCAGATATCCATGCTGACAAAAAGCTCATCTAGATTAAATAAATAGATAATAAATAAATATAAATAAATAAATAAATAAGATTAAATGGCATTATAAATCAAATGAACTTGACAAACATCTAAAAAATAGCCAATCTAAACATTGAAGAATACACATTCTTCTTAGTATGGATAAAACATTCTGCAAAATATATATCATGTATTAGTACATAACCCAAGTCATAACAAATAGAAGAAAACTAAAGAAATTTCTTTTATCCTATCTAATTACAATCGATTAAAACTAGAAATCAACAGAAAAGAAACTACAGAAAATGCACAAAATCATGGAAATTGAGCAACAAAGCAATGAATGAGTGGGCCATCAAAGACACGGAGACAGGAATTTTAAATTCCCCAAATCAAATGAAAACAAAGCACAACATACCCGAACCAATGGAACACAGTGGAAGCAGTTCTAAGAAGAAAATGTATGGCTATAAATTTCCTACATTAAAAAGTCTGGTTTTCAACAGGTGGTGATGGCTCACGCCTTTAATCCCAGCGCTTGGGAGGCAGAAGCAGGCAGATCTCTGTGAGTTCAAGGCCAGGCTTGTCTACAGATCGAGTTCCAGGACAGGCTCCGAAGCTACACAGAGAATCCCTGTCTGGGAAAAAAAAAGTCTGGTTTACAAAAAATGGATTAAAAAAATAATGGAAGATTTACACAATGGTGTATTACTCATCTGTTAAAAACAATGACATCAGGAAATTTGAAGACAAATGGATGGATGGAACTAGAAAAAACACTCCTGAGTGAGGTAACCCAGACCCAGAAAGACAAACATGGTATGTACTCACTCATAAGTAGATATTAGCTGTAAGGTACAAGATAATGATGCTACAGCTCCAGAGAGGCTAGGTAAAAAGGAGGCCCCAAAGAGAGATGCATGGATTTCCCTGGGAAGGAGAAATAGAAGAGATCTCCTGGGTAAACTGGAGGCCAGTCGGGATGGGAACACGAGGGATCAGATTGTGGGGATGGATGGAGAGGGGGAGAAATGAATGAGACATCTTGATGGGGGCATTTCAGGGTCAGGTAAACCTGGTACAAGGGAAACTCCCACCAATCTACAAGGATGAGCCCAGCTAACACTCCTAGCAATAGTGGAGAGGGTGCCTAAACTGGCCATCTCCTGTAATCAGATTGGTGAATACCCAACTGTTACCAGAGAGTCTTTATCTAGTAACTGATGGAAGCAGATGCAGAGATCCACAACCAAGCACTAGGCCTTAGAATCCTGTTGAAGAGAGGGAAGAAGGATTGTATGAGCCAGGGACGTCAATGTCATCACAAGGGAACCCACAGAAACAACTAACCTGAGCTCATAGGAGCTCACAGAATCTGGACCAAGAGCCAGGGAGCCTGCATGGGACCAACGAAGGTGGCGCTCTACATATGTGTGACAGTTGTGTACCTTGGTCTATTTGTGGAATTCCTATTGGTGGAAGCAGGGCCTGCTTGTCCCTGACTCTTTGGCAGGCTTTTGGGAACGTATTCCTCATACTGGGTTGCCATGTCTAGCCTTAATACAAGGTGAGGGGCTTAGTCCTACCTCAACTTGATATGCCATGCTTTGTTGACACCCATGGGAGACCTGCCCCTTTCTGAACAGAAAGAGAGGAGGAGTGGATTAGAAGGAGGGAGGTAGGGAGAAGGGATGGGAGGAGAGGAGGAAAAGGAAACTATGGTTGGGATGTAAAATAAATGAATAAATGTAATTAATGATAATAATAAAGTCTGGTTTGTCAGAGGTGTCATGGAGACCCCCAAAACAATATAGACTATTCCCATCATTCTTGGTTGCCCACCATAACTTGGTAAGACACAATTGCTAAAGTAATCACATACATTGGTTATAGGACATGGAGAAATCAAGTTGGTAATGACCAGGAAGCTTCCTCCCTGCTGGCTAGCTAGCTGGCATAGTACTGGAAGGTCCCATCCAGGCTCCTAGAGTGGGGAAGGCATCAATAGTCTTACGCAGTAGTGTGGTGGTATTGTGTTTCCCAAAATATTGTGCAATCTAATAAACTTATCTGGGGTCAGAGAACAGAACAGCCACAATATTTAACATAGAGGTTAGGCAGTGGTAGCACACGCCTTTAATCCTAGCATTCCAAAGGCAGAGATCCTCTGGATCTCTGTGAGTTCAAGGTCGCACTGGAAACAGCCAGGCATGGTGACTCACACCTTTAATCCCAGGAAGGATGGCTGGAAGCAGAAAGGTATGTAAGGCGTGAGGACCAGGAACAAGGCCTGGTTAAGCTTTTAGGCTTTTGAGCAACAGTTCAGCTGAGACCCATTCGGATGAGGACACAGAGGCTTCCAGTCTGAGGAAACAGGATCAGCTGAGGAACAGGGTAGGTGAGGTAACTGTGGCTTGTTCTGCTTCTCTGATCTTTCAGCATTCACCCCAATACCTGGCTTCTGAGTTTGTTTTTATTAATAAGAACTTTTAAGATTCGTGCTACACAGTAGTAAATCCTATGAACTGTAATAATGACCAACACGGCAAGATATGCTCATAGCTGTAATAGTGTCACTAATGGCAGTAATGAACTGCTTCCTGATTAGATTTAAAGCCCTCCCCATACAAGGAAACATGGTACTGGTGCTGCAAATTTAGCCAAGAACCCATGGTTGGGATCTCATAGCCCCAGTGCTGAACCTGCTACTATCGATTTGCTAAATGAACATAGTATCAAACTGCCCTCTAAATTTGTATCTCCCTACCTGTAGGTCAATTCAGGTGTCAGTCGTCATCAGAGAAGTTTCCTTGTGCAGTAGATGGTTGCTATTGCAGAAATTCACAACGGATCAAAGTGCAGAGAATAAGTGACTGAGGGGTGCTGGGTCACCAATGCGACATCTGTATCACACCTCTTCCTCAGTGTTGAGGGACCATGATGGAAGAGAGGGCAGGGAAAGATCTTAAGAATCAGTGGCAGAGGAGTGGCCAGAGCAAAAGAATGTCTTCTGGACATGACTGGACTGGCACCTCACAGCAGCTGCGGTTGCCTGCGCAAGACCAAGTCAGCATTCAGCATTCTAACATGGAATGGGAAGGAGATCACAAGCTTTTACCCATAACTGAGAAGCTGCTGAGAGATGATGGCTTCCTGGGAGAGGGAGAGTCAGTTTTCTTTAAGAATGTGGCCCTTAGTAGGCTGACATGTTCCAGTGGATGGTCCCATACCTAGAAGTGTATGGATAGCACAAATGCAGCCCAAGGGTTATTAGATTTCAATAAATAAATAAATGTGAGAGAGAGAGAGAGAGAGAGAGAGAGAGAGAGAGAGAGAGAGAGAAAGAAAGAAAGAAAGAAAGAAAGAAAGAAAGAAAGAAAGAAAGAAAGAAAGAAAGAAAGAAAGAAAGAAAAAGACAAGAAAAGAAGTTATAGGATTAGGGCTGTAGGGGCAGACCTAGGAGGAGTTAAGAAGACAAGTTGTGGGCTGGAGAGATGGCTCAGAGGTTAAGAGCACTGACTGCTCTTCCAGAGGTCCTGAGTTCAATTCCCAGTAACCACATGGTGGCTCACAACCATATGTAATGATATCTGGTGCCCTCTTCTGGCCTGCAGACATACATGCAAGCAGAACATTGTATACATAATAAATAAATAAAATAAAAAGAAGACAAGCTGTGATGAGTGGGATCAAAATATTCATATAAAATTCTTTAAAAAATTAATCAGAGAAACTTTAAGTATGCAGCAATGATCCACTGCAAGTTCTTAGAAAGACAAAGAGAAGCAAAACCTAAAATCAATTGACAGAAAGAAATAATAAAGATCAGTGTAGAAATCAATGGTGCTTCATAAAAATGACCAAGGTGGGGCTGGTAAGATGGCACAGTGAGTAAAGACATGCACACAAATACACACACACAAACACATGCATGCACACGAATACACACACGCAAATATACACATGCAAACAATACACACATGAACACAAATACACACATGCACACAAATACGCACACAAATACACCAATAAAAATGTAATAAAATTAAACATGAAAAAGGAGACTGTATAAAAAAATCAATGAAGATTGGAGGATCATTAGGATCATACTTTGAAACCACATATCTAATGAATTAGAAAATCTAGAAGTGGATTAATCTCTAGATATATGACATGCCAAAATTAACCTAAGAGCATATAAACAACTTAAATAGATAAATAGGTAGATACACAACAAGCAACGAGATTGAGGCAAAAAAAAAAAAAAAATCCCAAATAAATGCCGGACCTAGCTGGATTCACCTCTTAATTTTACCAGATCTTTGTAAAATTATATCAATGCATCTCAAACTAGTCCACACAATGAAAAGCTGATTCTGGTGGCATGTGCCTATAATTTTAGCACTTGGTAGATAGAGGCAGAAGTAAAAATAATTTAAAGTTAATCTTGTCAGAGTTCAGTAAGAAAACAGAAAAATCACACAATGGTTTGAACAGAAAAAAAATCAACACATACAAAAAAGAAGACGGAAGTCGTGAAGGGTTGGCTACGTCATAGGAGGGACAGCGGGCGTAAGAGGCAGGTAGTACCCCACCACCCCCTACCCCTCACCCCTGAGCTGAGATAAGGAGCTCAGGCTATCTTTTCACAAGCTTGGCAACCAGACCTCACTGTGGAGTGTGAGAGCTTCGGGAGCGGCATTCGTCGAAACGCTGATTTCTGGAGTGGCAGAGAAAGCCATCCACCCAGAAGTTGCTTTGCTTCAGAGGAAGCCGTTGCAGAGCAAATATCCACCATGCCTCTGCCTATGCAGAATTCTCAGGTAAGCGCCATCTCATTCATAACAGAGGCAGCATCTCTGTTATATTCGTTAACTCTTTTTTATTCTTCAGTAGTCTCATGCAATCTATTTGTACTACACACACACTCTTCTCTCCTCTCCAACTCTTCCCACACCCCACCACATCACCTTCCCAATTTCACTTCTTCTTCCTCTCCTCCTCCTCCTCCTCCTTCTCCTCTTCTCCTTCTCCTCTGCCTCCTCCTCCTCCTCCTGCTTCTGCTTCTTCCTCTTCTCTTGGTAACCCACTGAATCCTATTAGTACTGCCCATATGAGCCTTTCCACTGGGGAATAAGTCATTTACCATGGGTCACACGGAATAAAAAGGCTGACTTTCCTTCTCTCAGCATCCATCACCGGCCAAAAGCTCCTCTGGCAGTAGTGGAGCCTTGTGACGCCCTCCCCATCCATGCTGGAGTATTGACTGGCTTGACCTTGTGTTCATCTTGAACGGGCAAACAACAGCTGCTGTAAGTTCATAAGTGCAATGGCCCTGTCATGTACTAGAGACACTCTTTTTCATCAGTCCCTGCTGGTGGCTATGTCAGAGGAGCAGCAGGTGGCAATTGAAGTTCAAGGTGTCAGCCCACCGGGAGGAAACTCCCTGATGGGTCACTCTTGGATAGGCAAGGCCCCAAGACCATAGACCCTGGAATGTCTTTTGCTTCTGCTGTGCCTTTGCATATTTGCTACTGCCATCTTTCTCTGGCATCTGGCATGGTGAAAATGGGTTTGAGGAGATCCCCACTGCCTGTGATGTCATGTGTTTTTCTCATGGATATATCCCACTCTACTTGGCATTTTTACCTGTGGACTGTTATGAAGATGATTCCTCCCTAAGCTGTACTGTCTAATTGATAATAATAATGTTAGCTTGTACAGAGTTTTGATGAATAAAAATAAATGCAGGAATTGTTATACAGCTAGGACCTATGGGTTTTACCTAAGGAGCTGCCTAGATGGCAGCTCAGGTTAATGATTAAAAAGAAAACAATTCAGTCCCCAGGAGGCAGGGTGGCTCTAATTCGCTTAATGCTGAAAGATGTAGTCACAGGTTTTGGTGTGCATCACTCGCTGAAACAGAGCCTCAAAAAGATTAGATCAGATGTTTTGATAATAGTTTTAAAATTAATAACCCCAGAAAACAATCTAAAGTTCACAAGGACACATCGCTGAGTTATACATTCATTAGGTTAGAGTCAAAAGTACAAAGCAGCCCAGTTGCTGCTAGCTGGTGTACTTTCCTTGCTAGGTTTGGTTGGTGATCAAAGATGATGAGGAATTCTTTGTGTCCACTTTTGCCCTCAATCTCCTGATATAAGAAACTATTGATAAGTGGATATGCACCCCAAAGATTTAAAATAGAGCTGACTGATTCTTTTTCATATATGAACGTTTAAGTTTGTGATTCCTTTAAGATTCCTTATAAGATTACCCTTCAAGAAAAGTAATAAAGTAATTGGCCCTTTCTTTGTAACAGCAAAACTGCAGCCTGCCAGTAAAAGACCTGACAGAAAAATATCTTGTTGGCATACACACTTAATCTATAACAAGTTGTTTAGGTATAAATGTATGTGGGTCCACGGTGGTAGCATTCTGAACCGCCCCTTGGGGACCCACCCAGCATCCTGATGTCATCTTACATAAAGTCCCTTTTAAGAGAAAAACCCTCCCCTCCTTCCTTCTTCTTCCTCCTTCCTTCCTCCCTTTCTCACCATGAGGTAGTGCATACCTCCAATCTCCCTCTTCCTTTCTCTCTCTCTCTCTTTCTTCTTCTTCTTTTTCTTCTTCTTCTTCTTCTTCTTCTTCTTCTTCTTCTTCTTCTTCTTTTTCTTCTTCTTCTTCTTCTTCTTCTTCTTCTTCTTCTTCTTCTTCTTCTTCTTCTTCTTCTTCTCCTTTCTACCCCCCTCCTCTCCCCCTTTAATAATAAAACTTTCCACATGGATGCCATATCTGCATGGTGTGAGGAACTTTCCACGACACCCCACCACCACCTGCTGCATCTGCATGGCATACCTCCTTGGCTGCTACAGGGCACCTTGGCCCAAACCTGCCAAGGCCTCTCAAGCACCATTTTACAAAACTTGGGATAATTTTTTTTCACCTGAAATATGTAAAATGTTTAATCTTGTAAGGGATATGGAAAACATGCTGTTTTTTACTGTTTGTTTTGTATTCACTGTAATCATTCACTTAAAAAACAGAATGTAACAACATTATAATTTGTATATTTCCTGAAAGATTTTGCTGTGATACATAAGCTATAAGGGGAAGAAAGATAGAGTTAAAATGGGCTAGAAGAAAAACATCAAGAATGAGAATTAGAAGGAGAACATCAAGAATGAGAGAAGGAAGTCACCAGGAAAATAATGAATAGAAAATGCAAAAGAAGAATAAAGAAAAGGTCTGAAGGAAACCCATCAAGACAGTGAGTGTCTTTTCCCTAACCCCCTCAGATAAAAAAGTCTTAGTATGTGCCGATACTGTGGCTTCCTTCGAGCCCTGGACTGTCTGGAGGCTGGTCCTCCAGGCAGCAATAAGTCCCCCTGACCCCTGGCTCTTACTATCATTCTGTCTGATTTTCCACAATGTTCTCTGAGCCCTGCTTAGAGAGAGGTGTAATATAGATGTCCTCGTTAGGACTGACTCCAGAGTCATTATTCTCTGCATTTTGACCAATAAAACAAGATTATTAAAATCACAGAATTGAAAGACAAGGAAGTTGACTAAGGTAAAATGTACCACAGAGATGAGAAGTGGAGCAACATTAGCCTAAGGAAACAAAATGAAATTATAAAAAAAAAAAAAAAAGGAAAACTCTCCAGGAATCAGCCTATAGAGGTTTTTTGTTTTTGCTTTGTTTTGTTTTATTTTGTTTTTTTAAAAAGCCAAATCTGTGCTAGGTTCATGTTTTAGGGGAAGAAGAAATAGGACAGAAGTGATGACTGCCCAAGAGGGGTAAAAATGCAACCACCTCAGCCTCAAGGAAGCTGCACCCATATTCTAAAGTTTGTGGAGCTCACAATAAAGGAAGTCTCAAAAAGCTACTTATATGTCTCTACGGGAGACAATTTTTTATTATGTTAATGTGTAAAAGGAAATAGTCTCAGAATCTGTACTTGAATCTTCCATCACCTGTCTTTGCATTGCATTTACAGGTAGATACATATAAGTTTCTAGCACGCTAATTAATATTGTACAGGAAACCATGTTTTATCCTAGTACTCTGAAAGTTTAGATATAACAACATTCATTGGAAAAAGAATATGCAAAAAGTCTAACAAAGTCCATGGAATTCTGTGAGGATTTATATCCTGATGCTCACTGATATTCATAAATTAAGTTAACCCCGATTCCAAACCAAACAAGCAAAGAGAAAGAATGGAGTGCTGAGCCATCCTATCCCTTCCTGTCTGTGAAACTGTTGCTTCTAGACAATGAGAAGCATGGACTCAAAGCTAACCCTCACCCGCAACCCCCGCCCCAAACCCATGATGGTTTCAGAGCTTGTGTCTGATGCTTCATTTATTCTCTGCTCACACATTATAAGAAATGATTTGGAATCTCCTTCCAGTCGTCCGGGAGGGTTAAGACAAGGGACAATGGCAGAACTGTTTTTTTTATTTAATACAATATAAAGGCCAAATAGAGATTTAGGTTATGCTTCTGTACCATCTCCAACACAGCTACTCAACTCTGCTATTGTAGTTTGAAACAGTTGCTGACATTATTCAAATAAGTGACTATAACTTTGCGATAATAAAATGTTATTTACAGATGTAGGCATCTGGACAGATTTAGCCGATGGACTATAGTTTGAAAACTCATATAGAATATTTAAAAAGGCTGGAAGAAGCAGCTATGGTCTTGTGGAATTGTCTATATTGAGATGAAATCACCTTGCTTTCAGATTGTTACATATTATGCTTAAATACAAGAACATACCTAAGACCACTATGCTAATAGTTCAAAAACACAGAGAAAAGCATAGGCTATGACCATAGAACAAGCGACTTCCATGTATATTTGATTTATTTTTCACATCCTTATGGGTTGCCTATGGCATATAATGAACTATGTTTTTTTTTATATAATGCTAAGTACTAAAAGGTACAAAAACATGGATAATATTTAGACCCTTTCATCAGGAATCCAGGAAGCCCAATATTATAAATAGTATGTTAATAAATATACATAATACAAACTATATATAGAAATGTGTCATGAAAAATGAAAACCTTTTTTCTAGATGGGGAAGAAATTGCTTTTGTCTGGCTGCAGGAAATGTGGAGGTTTCTAGGAGACCAGATCCTTTTCTTCAGGCAAATGATATCCAAAGAAGGTTTGCCAAACACAGTCAAGCAGAGATCAGAAAGGCAATACCCAAAGGGCTACAAAACAGTGGTCAGTAACAAAACAGCAAAAACTGTGGGGAATAAAAATGAGCAATTTTTTTTATAGGAATGTAAAACAGATGACTTAATGTAGATAAGGCCAGAAAGAAAGTTAAATAGGACAAGACTTAGTAAGACTTAGCAGTTGGAATGGGTAGATCCAGATGTGTACGGTGTCAGAGCCTGCCAACGAGTTGACTGGGTATCTAGGTGGACGCGTGCGGATGGAAGAGACAATGAAGAAGACAGAAAAGAGTCGAGAGGTCTGCCAGTCAATGCCGGACAGCCCCGAGTTTATTTCACAGCCAGCTTATGTACAGTTTTCAAGGACAGAAGTAGAACAACGCACAGCACAGGCATCCAGCCACTATCTATCCTGTCCTTGAGTCAAGGAGCAGGCAATTTCATAGTCTATCTCAATGTACCTCCAGCTGGCATCAGCAGCCTACGTCTAGCTAAATAGTATGCTTCTTCCCCTGGGCTAATCAGGACTTTCTCACAGCCCTGGAGCAAGCAAGCCTGAACTCTATTGACTCAGAATAGACTTCAGATTCAAACTGGGAAACTGAGTCAGTTGTGGGCTCCCACAATATATATAGAAGTTTATATGGTTTTTTTAGGCCTTATGAAAGAAAAGTTATCTAGGCTGTATGTGATGACACATACCTTTAACCCCCCACTCCAGAGATAGACATAGGCCTCTATCTAGCTTAGTCTTCTACATGGAGAGCACCAAACCAGAGCTATATGTGAGACCCTGCCTCAAAAAGAAATCTAAATTGACCATACATATTTGGAAGGAGAGAAGAAATAACAGCAAATAACTTAAATCAAATTAAATCAGATGAATACTGGCGGGGGTGAGGGGGGGATTACAAGAACCACAAACTAAATACTTGGACTGCATTCCTGACATTCCACGGTAGCCACACACCTCACACATGTCTCCACCTGACAAAGAATCCAAACGAACATTTCCTCTAAGCTGATCAAAATCTGCTGTTGGTAGTAAAGAAGATGTCTTTTAGCTTCATAAAACATTGCTAACCATGGCAAATTTTTCATATTATGGTCAA